GGATCCAAGAGTAACACTAAACAGGCCCCAAGCACATGCACCCTCTCCTTTGGCCACCAGTGCTTCTGACTAAAACAAGTAACACTTGCTTCATTTCTATGGGTGCAATCACGCTTTGGTAATATTCCGGAGAGTCCCCTTAATTGAAATGCTTGTCATGCCTGCCCATTTACTGCATGGCTAACATCGACCAGCACACTGTAGGCTCGCTGAAGGAACAAGGATACCATAGTGGGGAAACAGTGCCAAGTAACAAACTAGCCAGAGGTGTTTGCATGACACTGGAGCAGCATTTGTGTTGTCAGTATGGCAGGGACAGTATGGCAGTGCCCATGTCCTGTGCGTGGCAGGGGATGCCCTTGGAGCGGTGTTGTAGTGCATCTACAAGTCTTGGAACCTCCCAAGGGTAAAACTCACCTCTGGTTTGTGTAATGTTAGTTCCTACCTGAAAACCTTCTTTCCCTTCCCCCTTCCCATTGGCTGTGGCCTCCCTGCATCCCCTAATCACCTCTGCCCCCTGGTATAAGAGATAAGACCCAGAGCAATTCGGTCTCTCACTTGCCCCAGATGGACAACAGACAATAAACCTGGGATTGGATGCTAGCAGCACTGGATATTAAAGATTGCTTTTTTCAAATTCCCCTGCACCCAGAGGATGCACCAAGGTTTGCCTTTTCCATTCCTACAATTAACCGGGAAGCTCCAATGAAACGGTACCGCTGGACAGTATTACCTCAGGGGATGAAAGCCAGCCCTTTCATCTGCCAGTGGTATGTGGGGTCATTGCTGTCCTCAGTGCGTGCTGAAAAGAGAGAGGCTATCATTTTGCATTTTATGGATGATATTTTTATATGCTGTCCCAATAACAACATACTGAAAGACACCCTTGACCTAGTGGTTAAAGTTTTAACCTCTGCTGGATTCCAATTGCAGGAAGACAAAGTTCAAAGGATGCCACCTTGGAAATACCTGGGCCTGGAAGTTACTGCACGGACTGTTGTTCCGCAAAAATTGGATATTATTGGTAATCCTAAAACTCTAGCAGATCTTCATTCTCTATGCGGGTCACTAAACTGGGTCAGACCATGGCTAGGTCTCACCAATGAAGACCTGAGTCCCCTTCTCAATTTATTAAAAGTGGGGAGAGAGAGTTACTGTCTCCTAGGGAGCTGACTCCAGAAGCAAAAACTGTAATTGAAAAGGCACAAAAGGCCTTGACAGAAAGACAGGCACACCGCTTCAAACCGGAGCTGCCTTTCAAATTTATTGTCCTGGGGAAATTGCCACACCTACATGGGTTAATATTCCAATGGGCCAAGGGGCAGAGGGACCCACTCTTAATAACAGAATGGGTTTTCCTCTCCCATCAAGGACCCAAAACTCTCACCAAGCCACAAGAGCTGATGGCTCAGCTGATTCAAAAGGCCAGGGTAAGGCTGCGGGAACTGGCAGGTTGTGACTTTATGTGTATTCACCTCCCAGTCAGGCTCTCTGGAGAAGGCAAAAACTCCCCTGAGAGACTGACCAAAGAGATGTTTGAGCATCTGCTGCAGAGCAATGCTAACCTCCAGTTAGCTCTGGACAGTTATAGTGGGCAAATTTCAGTTCATGCACCGTCACACAAATTGTTTCATGAGGAATTCCACCTCATTCCTCGTGAGAAAAGGAGCCAAAGGCCACTCAAAGCTCTCACAGTGTTCACTGATGCATCTGGGACATCCCACAAGTCGATGATGACTTGGAGAAATCCACAGACTCAGCTTTGTTGAGTTTGTAGAGGGGTCACCCCAGATAGCTGAACTAGCTGCAGTCGTGAGAGCCTTTGAAAAATTTTCAGAACCAATTAATTTAGTTACTGACTCAGCCTATGTAGCAGGTGTCCAGAGTGGAACAGGCAGTTCTCAAGGACATTGAGAACAAACATCTCTTTAGATTGCTTTCAGAACTGTTTTATTTGGTTTCAAATCGAGAACAACCTTTCTATGTGAAGCATATAGGATCGCACACCCCATTGCCAGGTAAAATCGCTGAGGGGAACCGGAAGGCGGATTCCCTTGCTGCCTCAGCTGAAAAGGTATGTCTCCCAGATGTTTTTCAACAGGCAAAGATAAGTCACCAGCAATACCATCAAAATGTGCCAGGACTGATTTGTCAGTTCCAGCTGACACGGGGTCAGGCTAAAGCCATTGTGGCTACCTGTCCCAATTGTCAGCTCCAGGCAGTGCCACCATTAGGCATCAGGGTTAATCCCAGAGGCCTTAAGAGCTGTGAGGTGTGGCAAACAGATATCACATCCCCAGTTTTGGTCGCCTTAAGTATGTACATGTGAGTATTGATACATACTCAGGAGCGGTGTATGCCTCTGCTCATGCAGGAGAAAAGTCTGTACATGCTAAACAACACTTAGTACAGGCCTTTTCCGTATCGGGAATCCTTAAAGAAAGTAAAACAGATAATGGCCCAGCGTATAAATCCAAGGAGTTCCTGGAATTTGTCCAGCAGTGGGGAGTGGAACATAAAACTGGCATCCCCCACTCTCCCACAGGTCAGGCTGTAATCGAGCGTACACACCAGACGCTCAAACAAGTCCTAGCCAGGCAAGGTAGCGAGGCAGTGTGGATGTCTCCACAACAGAAACTCTGTAAAGCTCTGTTTACCATTAGCTTCCTAAACTGCTCATTTGAAAACATGAATCCTCCTGTAACTCGGCATTTTAACAGTGGTGATCAGTTTAAATTGTCACAGCATCCACCGGTTTTCATCAGGGACCCTGAAACTTGGCAAACCAAGGGTCCCTATGAACTTGTCACCTGGGGGCGTGGTTACGCGTGTGTATCCACCCCTTCAGGCCCCCGATGGATTCCTCAGAAATGGGTAAAACCTTTCGTTCCAAAGAATCCAGCACCAGCAAGAAGAGAAGAGAAGCAAGTGGCTGTTGCTTCCAAGAGAAGACGCCACCGGAGAGAGCAAGAAGAAACCTTTCTAGCCTCTGACCTGCATACTTTGGCTGTGAATGTGTTTTAAAAAAATTCTGTTTCCTTTTTTTAGAAATAACCTACCTCTAACTCAAATCCATGTTTCTCATTTTTGTATAACAGAAAAGGGTGAGGTGTTGTAGTGCATCTACAAATCTTGGTTCCTCCCAAGGTTAAAACTCACCTCTGGTTTGTGTAATGTTAGTTCCTACCTGAAAACCTTCTTTTCCTTCCCCCTTCCCATTGGCTGTGGCCTCCCTGCATCCCCTAATCACCTCTGCCCCCTGGTATAAGAGATAAGACCCAGAGCAATTCGGTCTCTCACTTGCCCCGGATGGACAAGAGATAATAAACCTGGGATTATTCCAGCAAGTTTGAGCCTCCTGTGTCTGGATATTTTGAGTCCGTGTTGCATCCACTCCAGGACCCCCTCCACCGCCCGTGTCCCAAGAAGAGCAGGGCTCTCACCACGGGGGGTGGGACAGAGGGGTCCCATCGAGGAGAAGAATTGCAACAGAGCGGCCCTCACAGTGTGGGTGCACCCACGGGCGCATTTGCCCGATCTCTCCACTCCCACCGGCTCCCAGGTCAGCCCTTCACTTGACAAAGAGCTCTGTCCAGCACGGAGCTTTGCAAAAAGCCACTGCCTTTGGCTTGTGGGAAACCTGCGAGGTCAGATTCCTCCATGGATGTGGCTTGGAAATCTCTCTCCTGCCTGTTATAAATCACGCAATTCTCTGGTTGGTTAAGAAAGTAAAAGTTCTAATGATGTTTGCTTGTTGTGTGTGATTGTACGGCTGTACAGAAACATGTGCTGGCCGCTTTTGAACGCTGGAGTGGGCGATGAGGGTAATGAAGGCAGAACAGAATGGAACATTCTAGATCCTCATTGGCGGAAGGAACGGACCAATGGAGTGTCGAGTTTCAAAAATGATTGGTGGAGGTTGCACGATCTTAACGACCAATCAACGGACCATATTTAGACCAATCACAGTGCGGATTGAAAAACGCACCAATCCCACACTGTGAGAGACTTTCAAACCCCCGGGGTGCCCAGCACACGGGTCTTCCGAGGGAACTCGAGTCCTGAGGAGCACACAGCCGCGGTGGTATGCAGGCTGTACCAGGTTGCTTGTTAGCCAGTTTGGTGGTGCAGGCTGCTGGGCTTATCCCAGGGCCTCGCCTTCAGCCGTTCTTGGGGTTTTTTAAATAAACGAGTTTACTTTTGAAAGGACAAGTGATCGACCTTGTTTACAACGCTGCCCATGGTGGATATGTGCTGCATAGTATACTGCATTTTTCAGTCCTTTGCTTCACTCCAATTTCTGGTCTGCAGAAGCTGCATAGATTGATCCTGGCTTTCCTG